CCCCCCCCCCCCCCCGCCTAAAATAAAGTAAGTTGGCAAGATGACATACTGTGAGAGTTTGCCAAGGGGAATTGTTGTAAGTCCTTGCTGTAATATTTGATAACACTTTACATACCAAGAACACCTTCATTCAGGCGTATACGTGGAATATCGACTGCTATATCTTATTCAGAAAAAAACCCGCAACTATTTTTTTCTTACTGAAAATGTGGGAGTCTTCGGGCTGTGTAACATCTGGTGAGTAACGCGTTCCTTGGGCAGCATATTTTATTTCATTGACAAGGTTAAGTTTTTATATTTTCTACAACGAAATGATGGATTTCTATAATTTTTGAGGAATAATATGGAATGACTCCAATAAAAACCATTCCCCAAAACTAGCACAAATAAACGTGACAGTGGCTGTGAGATGGCGATATACAATGACGACAGTGGGAGTTGGTGCAATGCTAGCTATTGGAAAATACAATAGAGCAGTGCCCGGATGTTCCCCTTCGGACGAGGAAGTATTGGAAAATAACACCCTCCATTAAACCCGATATAAAAGTGGTGTCCACACGTACTGGGTAGGCAAAGGTGAGTGCTAGGCTACTTCATTTTAAATGATAAGCATTTACCTTCTGACAAAGACAATTCAGTCTTCTTTAGTATTTCATTTAACAAAATGGTTCCTTGATTCCTAAGTGTTAGTAGGTAATCTGCAGAGGGATCTGACCGAACAGCACACTGTCTACTAGTTATGTCGGGCCATGGCGTCATTTCTTTAAAGGTTATCAAAAATATTGTGTCATGTCATGAATTTATCCTCTGTAACTTTCATTTATATAATCTGCAATAACTACCGATTAAAACTGCGCAATAAAACCTGCGCTGACGTTATTAAATAAGATAGGCTACACGTTCTTGTGGTGCATTTCAATGGTTGCACATTTTAGTGTTTGTACAACAACCTACAAAAATGCAATCTATTGTTCACCTGAATGAGGACATTTTCTGCGTGCATTGTAATATCATATAGCCTGATTTTACATGATTGAATAACTACAGAAGAAATTAACCCCGAATATTTATCACCAGGATACAGGTACCTGAGCACACAAAACTAATTTAGTTTAAATTTGAAACCAAACATGTATATGGCCTGCACAAGTATTAAGTTTATATACAAGAGGGGCTGGGCAACACGGAGGGGACGACAGAGAAGACAGGATAACGGGATGGCAGTGTGTGGTGGGGTATGACGAGGTGCCCAGGGGGCGCTGGAGGATTGGGAATTTTGCTAAAAGGGAGGCCAGAGAAAGACCAAGCACTTTTTTGGCTTCCTTCATTCGCTTTGCTTACATCATGAACAAAATTGCATTAAGTCCAATTTTACATAATATATATTTGACAAGGAAATTTGAACTGTTATACGCAGTGCTCAAGGATGGACATATTGACTGGTTGTTTCTTTTTCTTTCTTAAAAAATCTTTTTAGTGTTTTAGGGGTACCTGTATGTAGCCTATTGTGTCCACCCCACGGATACTCTATTTAACATTATATTACATGGGGTACCCATTCGTAAAAAGTGATTGCCGGTTTATTGCTCGTGGTGAGTTTATTGTTCGTGATTGCAAGTGATAAGTTTTCATCCGTGTGCATTATAAAGGGTGTCTTCAAAGGTGTAAGCCCCTTCTTACTGTCAATTTTCTACCATGGTGAAGGTAAGGGAGCTCAGAAATACAGAAAAAATCTGAGGGGAGTGATATAAATGTTTCCCCAGATTGCCATCACATTTGGTGTGTATGGTCAGGGTGTCTACAGGGCTTGCAGAAGGGTGGATAACACTGGTGCTGCCCATACGTCACTACGAAGTGTCCGCCCGAAAAAGACTAGTGCCATAGACAACGTGTCTTTTTATGCTATCAAGGCTAATGTGACTTGATTCAGCTATTTAGAGGTCACGTAATTTGAAAGTTGAGCAAAAAAACATTTCGAAGAAAGTTCCAAGTTTCAGTGAATTGACACCAGGGTTGCCAGGTAAAAACCACTTATCACCTTGGTAAACAGACGAAGACGATTGACATGGGCTTGAAGAACCATTGCGTGGACCCTAGGTCCATTTATAGCGCCGTTTTGAAAAGTGTAGACCAGGAATTATAACTACTCAAGATCTGCCTACTGTGATTACTGATTACTTGGTTATTATTTGATAACTCTGATTCAGGGGGTGACACTTCTATTGCCCATTGTGTGTAGTTAAAGGGTGCATTGCATGTGGTTTCAAGGGAATTGGTAAACTGGGGTTGGCACAGGAAACTCTGAACCATAAGCGTTATATTGACATTCTGGACCAGCACTTTTTACCATCGGTGGAAAACATATTTGGGGACAGGAGCAATCAATTCAATTTCCAATATGATAACGCCACAGGCCGACCTCAATAAAAAACTTGTGGAATGAGATTGGAAATCAACTGGCAAAGGATCGCCCCTTTATCAGAAACTCTCTGATCCAAAATTTCTTGAGAACCTGGGCCAACGTAGCCCCCAAAATGTTAATTACTGTAGCCTTTCACAGTCTCTGTCGAGAAGGGTGGGGGCCATATTGAAATCATATGGCTGTCCTATAAAACATTAATAATGGCATAATAACAAGGGTTATGAAAGGGCAAAGCATTGGTCTGTAAACCTGAAGTTAAGATTCTAACTTGATATTATCTGTTTTCTATATAACACTAACTGAACAAACTAAGAAACGCAACTATTTTTCGCCTTCAAGTCAAATGGTGCTATACTATTATAACCCTCTGTAGTATGGAGGGCACAGGGATGAGGATTTTGCCTACATTTATCTAGTTTCGCTTGCTATAAAACTTTTTTCTTTTTAGGCCCACTGTGCACATTCCACGGACTTGCTGCTGCCCAGGCTTCATTTTTACATTTTAAAAATGTTTACACGCTGGCATTATGATGAACGATCGCAGTTTGTTCCATCGCTTTGTGTCTAACCATGAAGTACCCCCCCCCCCCTCAAGAACAACCTTCTAAACTGAACTTTGCTTTGTGCCAAACCATTAAGTAATCTCCCTTCCGGAGACAACCTCCCAAAACTGAACATATATATATATATATATATATATATATATATATATATATATATATATATTTGTTACTTAAATGCAATTCTTAAATAAATTTAACGTCTGATTACTACTAATATATGATGTTTGTCATACTAATATTTAGCTTTGTGATATTTTATTTCTTTCCAGATGAACCTTAAATTTTTGTCTCTGTTGCTGTATCTTACGGCCCAAATCGCTGTATCCACAGTACAGGCAAGGTGTCCATTCATTCCTGACTGTGAGGCATGCTATGTAAGCACATACGGAGATTCCAGGGAGCAGGATTTGTGGACGTTGATGTGCAGATATTCTTATGTTTACTGTGACATTTTATGTACGAGATTAAGGTCTATGAATAAGACATTTGAGGTACTGGATCTCAGTCACGGTTTTGGGGATTTTTACTCATGTCCAAGAACATGCGACTTCAACAGCAGTAACACGCCTTCCGTGTATGAAATAGACTTGTCTTACTCGAGATTGCGCGATGATTTCGGTGGAGGACCGACGTATTTCCTTAAAAGTCTGAAATACACACTTCGTATACTAAAACTTCAATATGCTAGACTGTATTTGTTTAGAGATACTCTGAGATTTTCGAACTATCCAAAGTTAAGGGATCTTGATTTGAGTGGCACATTTCCTGCACTTCGTTATGGTTACATATCACTAGATGGAGCCACTTCTCTAGAGACGCTGTACTTGGACAACAATCGCCTGAGTGAGGTTCCTTATGAGATACGTAATATGACATCACTGAAACACCTGTCTCTGCAACACAATTTTTTAAATAAAACGGCTTTGGATAAGCACGACATTTTCCCCCTGGCATTAATGTCACTGGATTTAAGCCACAACAAATTTCGAGGAAGCGCAGACTTCAGCTGGATGAATTTGTTAAATTTGCGAACCTTAAGAATGCAGAACACGTCAATTGGTTATTATAGCAATTACTTACCTAAAAGACTCGAGAACATGTCTAACCTGGAAATACTGGATATAAGTTCCAGTGAATTGCCGCAGAATGCCTTGGATCACATCGAAATGTTTCAAGAGTTGAGGGTTTTTAATTTTTCCTTCAACAAACTTCGAGATGTGACTCCAGCAATTAAAAAATCAAGCTTACTTCGTTGGTTATACCTGCGTTCAAATGATATATGGTATGTGGCTCCTGAAACTTTTAAGAATATATCAAATTTAACCGTGTTGGATCTTGGAGGGAACAAAATTAGTTCCTTGTCACCCATTGCCTTCACTGGCGTAGAGGAAAGTCTAGAGCGGTTGTACTTGGACGGAAACCAATTGAAGACACTGGACAAATGTACCATATTACGTCTCACACGCTTGCGTAGACTGAGAATTGGTGGTAACCCGTTCCATTGTGATTGCAAGATAGCTTGGCTTCGTTCATGGCTTGATAAAGTAGAAGACAATGATGTGGACAAGGCTTTCTGTAACAGCCCAAAAGAATTTAAGGGGATGGATGTCAGTGTTTTCTCGACAGAAAGTTGCGCCCCCTCACAGTTGACTTTTGAGGACTGTTTTGAGCCCATTTCGCCAACAAGTAATGCACAGGTGACTGATGATGAACCTATGACGTCATTTACAAGACAGGCCCTTGTCGCAGCACATCTTGCAGTGGGATTCAGCGCCACCTGTCTTGTGTTCATTGTCGTTTACATTACTGTCACTGGGTATAGATTTTATAAGCGATTCCGTGGTATACAAACCACAACGAACACTTATAGTGAGAGGACCATGTCTGGGGTACAAAACACCAACTTCACCGAGGTCGGGGAAACAGGGCCTTACCAGGGATTGGAGACAGCCGCTCCTTACCAGAATGTTGCTGATGGAAACCAACCAACTGGAAGTTCCTACGAAGCTTTGAATCCACATACAGCAATTTAAGGGAATTTGGGGGACGATAGCATAAAAGGCAACGAAATACCGTTTCGTATTTTCTGAAATAGATCGAAAAAAGAGAACTACATCTAAGGACTTTAACCTTAATTATCTAACTACCGGTAGGCAAAAGATACAAAACGTAGGAAACGCCTAGATACAAAACGTAGAATGTGCCTTATCTTGGTCAGACTTAGATTGACCCCGGTGTAATATGTCTCGAGATCCTATTCCCATTCCCATCCCAGAAGAGATGCACCTCACACCATACCAAAACAAAAGTATACAGATTGTCTTTTTGCCTTATTTGCTAACTGGCCCTTTAATGAAAACATGGAGGTTCGCACTGGTTGTTAGAATTGTTTGTATTTATAAGTATTTATAAAATGCACCTGGTAAGCGTTTGGTAATTGATTCTGGTACAGTGTAATCTTCAACCATGTCATTAATCCATAACTATAGCAAAATATTAATGTTGCGCCTTACCAGGTGTTCGTATACTATTTTGCCTCCATTTAAATAATCTAATACCCCCCCCCCCAAAAAAAAAGAAAAAAAAAAAAAAAAGAAAAAGAAAAGAAAAGAAAAGAGAAGAAAAAAGCACGATTTTTTTGTTATCTTTTAAATTTATTATTCAAGTAATCAATCTCAATATATAAATGTTATTGTACTGAATATACTGCCATGATGATATTATATAGCCAGAAGAGAAAAGTGTTTTTTTTTACATTTTCAAAGAATTTGATTATATTGCATTTCCATTAAAGTGATATTGTATTTCCATTACAGAAGATAATTCAGACACACAGTCTGACAATGACATATTAGTCTCTTTACGCCTATTGGGCAGTTTATACATTAATTACTTATAATTCTTTATTGATTATTACTCAGATTTGGGGTTTATAAGGTTATCACTTAGCCCGGTACTTAGTTACTCTGACAAGAGCCAGTGCTTAATATTCAGCAGTGGGTTTTGTGTACAGTTGTTTTTGTGCTGGACCGCACTTACGTATATTATTATACTACATGTATAATTAATTTCAGTTGTATAATTATCCCCTTTTTTATAGGGCTGTCTGTACAGTGTACGTACAGAAATTAGATCGTTGTTCAGAGAGACACATTTGAGACATTCGGAAACACCTTGAGACACCTAGCTCCTACTTCAAGAAAAGAGTAGATGCAAAGCGTCTACAAGCAATGTGTACCCGTATAGTTATCGGTATTCAAGAAGCCTATATAATAAAGCTGTAGAAAACCAAAATACAGTCATGTTCTTCATTAAACCGCATAAACTTTGTGTTTTAAATTATCTATTTAGAGAGCATTCAGAACAAGTTGATCCGCTGACTAACAGATCCATGGACTAGATATGGCCGACGCACGTAAAGCAGCGCCGGCTGATTCCATAGCGCCCCCCCCCATAGCCCCCCCCCCCCCCCCCCGATTCCACACGCGCCTTCGCTGCAGGGGCCTTGCCATTAAACCTCGGAGCTGAGATTTCATCCGTTTAATGGCGCGTGTGGAGGCAGGGAGACCATCAGAAGGTTAAGCGGCGCTGCTGTTAAGTTTGGTCGGCCATATTTAGTCTAAGGCTTAACTGTTCTGATTGCGCTGCGCTTAATCGCCTCCAACTGTAACTGTCCAGTGCCTCTGTGTGAGAACGGCATACATGTAGATAACATACTTCTTTTTCAAGAGGGAGGCATCTAAAGCCTCTCTAGAGACGAGATATCTTTAACATCGGTCACACTGCAATTATAACTTTTTGGGCAACTTTCAAGCAACCTCAAATAGACTTCAATCGTTTAATTTAGTTGTTAAAACACGCGTCCTCGTGGCCTTGAGTAGAATACGGAAAATCTGATGAGTATAAGTGCATTGGAAGCAAGAGATCAAGGTTCACAAGTTAAACGGATTGCAATCAGCGAGGATCCCTCGGAGTTGGATTGATCTACGTAAAGTTTCAATCTAAAAGCTTCAATCGCAATTAGACCTTTGTGGCAATTTGCTGCTCATTCTGAGGGGACTGGGTGGATTTATTTAGTTATAGCAGCATACCGGAAGGACAGCGAGTCCTGTACCCTGGTGGTAAGATTTCTTTATATTGGATGTGGCCTCTGTGTAGTTACATCAGTCTGGCATGACTCTATAAAACTGTGTAGAGGGTTGCGTGTGACACAATAATCTGTCTAGCAATATCTATCTTTTTCTCGCCACACTGACACAGATTAACAATTTTCTAAAACATGCTTAGCTCATTTTACGCACTGCGACCGCTAGCATGCAAAATGTCCAATTCTGCTATGCATATGTATACTTTTTGACAGAACCATGTTTCGCCAAAGCCAAGCGTTAACTAGCCCAAAGGAGACCTACCCAATTATATCAGTGCATATTACACATTGAGCAGTGCAACAGCCACGGTAGTCAGTTAATTGGTAACGGCACACCTGACTTCACACTTCTCCACTCACATTTTATATGAGATATGAGTCTTTTGAAAAAAAAATTATTTCACTGTCAAAACTCAGTTTATATTTTTTCTACAACGATACGATTGTTTTTAATTATGTAAAATAAATGGGAATAGCTTCAATAAAACCCATCCAAAGTGTCAATGGCAATGGAAAGGCGGTACACAGCGGGGCTTGGTGGTGTGTTACTTGTTGGAAAACATAATGGAGCACGTGCCCGGATGTTCCCCTTTGGAACGAGGAAGTGTTGGGATATACCTGTAACCCCCTCTATTACACCTGAAATAAAAGTGGTGCCCAAACATCGGGAAAGGTGAGTGCTTAGTTAACAATCATTAATTTAAATGACAAGAATATGGCTTCTGTCAAAGACAATTCAGACTGTCTGAATCATTATTTTATACAACAGACTGGTATTTCATTGCCTCAAAAGGTTTTCTTGATAATCTACACAGAGATCGTACCGAACAGGGTCCCGTCTATTGCAGGATCATGACGTCATTGTTCTATCAAAGTGACAAATAATTTCCCCGTTAAATTGAAAATTGAAATCTAAAATTGCTGAAAACTATCCTCTGCAACATTGGTATATAGCCCTGTATACACTGTACACGTAACTAACAGTACATACTGTACGTTATGTACGTAATAAAATCATTCCCTGGCGTTCTTAAATAAGTTACTTGCGATGCATTTCAATAGTCGCACATTAAGTTTTTGCGCAACAGTCTACTAAGTAAATGCAGCCTATGATTCACCTGAACGAAGACACTTTCTGCGTGCAGGGTAATAACATGAGGTCTCAAATATCAGATGTATTGAATAATTTCTTTACGTCTAACTCGCCTGTTTTGAATTCACTTTGACCTTAACTGACATTATTTATGTCAGCCCTATATTATCGTAAGAAAAAAAGATGTTGAACAAAGCAGAGGAGACGGGATGATAAGAGGGGGGGGTGACGTGGGCTGTTTCGGGTGTACCCAGGTACACGCTTTAGTTATAAAGGGGGTGGCATTAGACTCATTTTGGCTCGCTTCGATCGCTTCGCTCGGCAGATGTGAATTGTTTGACGTGGACAATTTCACTGCAATATGTAAGACATTGAGATGTGAAATTTGCTTGGTCTGCTGTCGTTTTGCTTATTCTTAAACTGTGCTTTTATCCTTTTGGCTGGTAAGACCAGACAAATATAAGTACATGTACGTGTAGCTATAGACAAAAGGATCAAAAGGATAGACAAAAGTCTATTTTATCCTTTTATTTTTGTGTGTTGGAGAGACAATAGGGTATTGCCTAGTAAATGTAGTACCTATGAAGCTAAGAGGCATGTGGCTAAGTGTGCCCACCTCTGGACTCGATCGAATATTGCCCAGAGGGCGTAAAACCTCTCTATGATGTTATTTCCACAAATACATTTAATAATTAGTATGCTTACGTTCTGAACGACAGATGTTTGTTTTACTGCTTTGTAACAGTTACCATGATGTTCAACCGCTAGATGTAACACTTTAGACACCCCCATCATACGTGTACTGAACACTGTATAACTGGCATTTCATGCAATGTTTGAAATAATTGTTCGAGACTAAGCCACGTCTGAATATCAACAAGGCATCCCAGATCAATGTTTAAGTAATTTTTTTNCAAAAAGATTCAGACGTGGTGTAACTCGCATAACCGCACGTCTTGCATGAATGCGTTATAACCCGCTAATGGACCCGTGGTCTAAATAAGATAGATCCCTCGTCAGCGAGGGTTATGTGACATCCACTCGTGCTTCGCACTCGTGCATGCCACATAACCCTCGCTGACTCGGGGTCTATCTACTGTGAGTATTACTAGGATCATCGCCATCACATCGCGCACCAGGTAAAATCGGTGTGGTGGCTGATACTCTTTTATGCGATCTGACACACACCTTGAAAACGGGTAGTGTGGTCAGATAAACCGGTTTATACTGGACCCGTAGGTGCCGAGTCTGGTAGTTGGGAAGGCCTGAAATAGATTTCAGTCGTTTAATTCAGTTGTTATAACACGCGCCCTCATGGCCTTGAGTAGAATACGGAAAATCTGATGATTATAGGAGCATTAGAAGCAAGAGATCAAGGTTCACATGTTAAACGGATTGCAATCAGCGAGGGTCCCCTCGGAGTTGGATTGATCTACGTAAAGTTTCAATCGAAAAGCTCAATCGCAATTAGACCTTTGTGGCAATGTGCTGCTCATTCTGATGGGACGGGTAGATTTGTTTAGTTACAGCAGCATATCCGGAAGGACAGCGAGTCCTGTATCCTGGTGGTAAGATTTCTTTATATTGGGTGTGGCCTCTGTGTAGTTACATCAGTCTGGCATGACTCTATAAAACTGTGTAGAGGGTTCCGTGTGACACAATAATTTTTCGCGCCATACTGACACAGATTAACAATTTTCTAAAACATGCTTAGTTCATTTCACGCACTGCGACCGCTAGCATGCAAAATGTCCAATTCTGCTATGCAGTAGTTGCCGACATACTCAGTATGT